GTTCACCCCGTAGTCTGTACTTTTTCCTTCGTCCTCTCCAGGGTTGTAATTGAATGGCCCTATTCCTTTCTTTCTCTCTCCGTTTCTTTGCTCCCTCATTCCCCGGGAGAGAACTTTGCCAGCGCCATGTTCCTTTCAGAGTATTGTATCCTGTTGTGTCATTGTCACAGTGCAGTTTTTTAAACTTTTGGTTATAAAGCTTTGGATGTAAATGTTTTTGGTACAACTGGAAAGGTATTTTCTTCTGAAAAAGGAGGCAAAAAAATGGAAAATTCGACACCTGTCATTTACAAGGTCCTTTGAGTCCTCGAACACATGCCTTATATTAATGCCAACATAATATTAATGTATTGATAGTAATACGACTGGGCACCACCCAATTATTTCCCCCAAGCACCACCCAATTCTTACTAGAAGTTCACCAAAGGTCTAAATTAATTACATCAACAAATATATGGAAAATCTAATCTTGAATTAGGTGGTTTTTTTTTTTTTTTTGCTCTGGTGTATAGTGCGTTTACCTTGGCTTTGCAAACTGTAACCCTTTGAAAAGTACTTTCTTTAATTCATTTTTAATTCAAAAGGCATTTCACTCTATGAATCAGATGGGAACAGTGACCTCTGACTTCCCAACTGTGCCAGCTTGTCAGAATGGGTCAGCTAAAGATGTCAAATGCGACAGCAGTTAGAAGGCGGGACTGATGCTAAAATCCATTGCCTTCTGCGATCATGTTCCCATTGTAAAACCCTCTTAGAGACCAGGAGCATATTTGTATTTTGCGAGTGGGACGTTGTTGGAGGTGGAGTGTTAGATATGATCCACAGCAACAGATTCCCTAAGCACACCTATTTATGTACACCTGCATACCTTCCACAGGAACACTGCCCACCTAGAACCTAAGTGGTAAACTGTCCAAACAACACTAGATAAAATACCATCCTTTGTTGCATTTTTGAAACATGAAACCATTAGTCAAGGTATCTGTTTACTAATAACAAACTGCTCTTTATAACGAACATCATTAAATGGGTTTTTTAAACTGCTAACTGATGAATCTGAAAGTTAATCTGAAACTTTATTTTTGTGCTTTGCATCACTAAGTCATGTAAACAACAGCATAAGTTATGCTTTGTCATATTGAAATAAAAAAAATAGTGTCATATGTTTCTGTAGTGTATGAATAATTTGACAACAAATTCATCAGTAACATTTAGCAATAAATAACTCTCTAACATTTTGAGTTACATAAACATTAGAAATCCCCCCTTTTTTAAAAAGAAAATTAAGATATTCTGTGTCTTCCATCCCACCAGAATCTGAAATACTATGTGCAACCATGCTCACAAGTGACTCATACTGATTCTAAATCACTTCAAGGTGTGGAAAAAGAATAGCTCACGCCTTTTCGCCTGTGATTTGCTGTGCGATGTGGAGTGTTGGAACTGTCCTAAACAATTTGGAATCCATTCATCTTCCTCTAGCCTACTGCCAATATCTGTTCCTCAGTCCATGAGTGTTTTTGTGAATAGAGTGATGTTTTCATATAAGCAGAAGAGCACATGGGACTTAGAATACAAATTCTGTGACACTTTTGCTGCCAATTTTTTCCCATCATTTATGCATCAGCTGAGCAAATTACTCAATCATGGGTCTTTGGACTCATGTTACACCTGGAAAGACACCATGTACAGAAAAATATTTTTTGTTTTGTTTGTGGATTCACATCCCCAGCTCTCCGAAACAGATTATGACAAAATGCACAATGACATTTACAGAACGTTAGAAATTTTTTTTTTAGCCCTGTCAATAAGAATCCATTTGACCGTGCGATTAGCACTAGTAGCAGGCGCATTATGCATCAGAGGGTTTTCTAACATGAGTATAATGCTTGCGCTGGTCATAACGGCATTATAGTATCATGAGTCTCTTTCTCTTGGTTTCTTTATCTTTTTTTTTTATTTTAGATAAGATATTAGTTATGTAAAGTCTAATAAAATGTGAATCCCCAAACCAGAAAAAGTTCGGACTGTATGTTAACTTATTGGGGACCAATTATATAATATTATTGAGTGTCCAAAAGGAAAATTTTTTAACTTTTTGGCCAACAAAACATAAAATTCCATGATTACTGGGAAGTTACATTCTTACCATCCCAAACCTTCTGGAAAACAGGCTGTTCTAAGTGGGCCTCCCCTCTATGATATGAGCTCTGTTTTAATTGGCTAGCAAACAATGGCTAGCAAGCCACCGTGTCAGCAGAGAGCGACAGTGTCAAACTGCCTGGCTACTGGAAAGTCTCTAAATACAGATGACTGAATGGAAAGGTAACGTTTGCTGGTTATGCAAACATGGACATTACACTCACAAAAAAGCGCAATATACAGTCACCAAAGAAATTAAACTACACTTGTAATTCAGTCCCTAACATTAGGAATGATCTGTGGCCAGCATCTGTATGGTAGCAATCATTTGGTAACATTCAACTACTGAGCGACTCTATTAAAAATGGACTGAATTCCATTAAGATGAGGTGCCGCTTACATTGCCTTTTTCCTGAACTAGCTGCTGTTTCTAGATTCACAGTGAATTTAGTAGCTAGCTTGCTTGCTTGCTCGTAAACCCCACAATGATTACATAAAGGTAATACATCCATACTAACTGAGTACTTTTTAGAGTGGCACTTAGCTAACTGACTAGCTAGCTACATCAACAACCAAGCCATAAAAATTGAACTAAGGGTACTCTTTGAAGTAAGTTTTAATATTAGCAAAAAATGGGAAACACTTATCTAGTTAGCTACCTTGAGATTCTCTTTGAAAATAAATTGGAGCCACTGTTTCTTTCTATCTTCCGAAAAGCATAACAGGTCCCCTTTAATATGAATTTTGTTGCTAGTCCTGCATTATACGGATCCAAGGAAGTACTATAAACCAGTCAGACAAAAAACAGATATCACTCAAATATAGGCTTTTGCCAATTGATGCTAGGATGTGGCCATAAAAAAAATAAGGCATGCATGGAGATATTCAGATGGTGGGCGGAACATTTCTCACGAGCATACATACACTGCCAGGCCAAAAAAAAAAAATCACCTCCTGGATTTAACTAGGCAAATAAGTAAGAGCCTCCCATTGGATAATTACTGAAGGGATTAATGTTTCAGCTGCTAAGAAGTTTTTTAACCTGAACTGATGCAGGGAGTTGCTTCTCATTTTTTGAACGACCAAGTCCGAACACATATCCTGTGATAATGGAAAAGATGTTATTCTGTTTCAGAAGGGTGAAATTATTGGCCTGCATCAAGCAAAGAAAACAACTGAGTAGATTGCTGAAACAACTAAAATTGGGTTAAGAGCAGTCCAACTCATTAATAAGACCTAGAACGATTGTAGTGAACAATCATCTTGAGGAAAAAATGCGGTCGGAATCATTTTATATCCAGCTGCTGTAGGAGTTTAAACGCCCCTAGACACACAAGTAGCTAACAATCCAAGCCCTATTTTTCCACCGTGGCTCTCAGTTTTTGTCACAGAGTTTTGTCCACACAGTTTCTGGATTATATTTGATAGATGGTTGCCAATTAAAAATAGGGGGTCGCGCATGCTTCTTTTTAATGCAGGGATACTCACTCTTTTCCAGAATGAGCTAGTGCAGGTGCAAGCTTTCATTCTAACCAACCAGTCACACATCTGATTCTACTCATCAACCCTTAAAGCTTTTGCCATAGACCTTTGATTAATAGAATAAGGTGTGAAACTGCATGGTTTTTATGGGAGAAATGCAAAATAGTTCAGTGCACTCTTACAAGAAGCAAACTGAGGAAAATATCAGGGAGATGATATGAAACATATGGTGTCATAGGTCACCTAGATGCCATGAAAACACATCCCACACGAGCAAAGGACCAAGATTGTCTCTTGACACCTGCCACCACTTCTCACTCCCTCAACTGTTTGACCCATTGATAAGGAGTGAGATGAGGGGAAGACAAGAGAGCATGTGTGAGAGAGAAGCGGTGATCAGCCTTTAAGAGGCCCAGGAACTTTGCTCTTGTTATTTGAAGGAAGGAATTGGTCTGCTCAGAATGGAGCAAAGTTTCACTTCAGGTCAGCTTGAGAACTTAACAAACGCAAAGCTGGTGGAACAGTGAACATGTATCATTTTGGCCCACAGCCTTGTCTGCTTTTGTTTTTGAAATGATCAATCTGCAGGAATAGAAAAACTGATTTTTTTTCATGTTAGGTATGTATGTTTTTTTTTTTTCCTTAACACATACCTGTTTGTTGAGTGTTCATTTGATGACTTTTTGAATAACTAAACTTTTGTTTTAGAAAAGGATCAGGCAATATGCAATTGAAGTAATGCTTGCAACGCTACGTAGTTTTTGTTTTCATATACGCTCCTGTTGTTTTGTAAGGCCACACCTCCAGCTTTCAAACTAACCGGTCTATTAAGACCTGGACCACATACTCAGCCCCGCAATCATTGTTTGTAGCTGCTGTTCATTTCCGCTGTGTGGTAGTGTTGGGCTATTTAAGACCAAGCTTAGCACTTATTCTTTGCGAACTCTTGTCAGCCAAATGCCTGTGTTGTATTTCTACTTGTGTAGACTTATTCTCCGTATATCACGTGTGTATATTCTAACTCTTGAATATGGTGCTGTTTATTGTTGATATCAGCACTTTAACTATATTATTAAGGAACCTGATTTCCTATTTTTGTAATATATTGTTACTGTAGCTAAAGCCCAGTGTTTTTATTAGAGTAAGTCTGTTCTTAGCCTAGTGGCATTTCATCAGGCTGGTGCTTAACCCCGGTTTCCGTGGCATGAAGCGACTTGGAGTATTGCTACTCCCCCTGGATGGGATGCCAGTCCATTGCAGGTACTCCCCCAGCTCTGGGTCAAGTTTCCCTGACAATTTGCTGGTACCCATTTGTACACCTGGGTGGACTGGGGCACAGTTGGAGGGAAGTGTTTTGCCCAAGAACACACCGCAAAAGCCGTGGCAAGGACTCAAACTCAGGACCTGTTGATCCCAAGTCAAGCCTACTTAACCGCTGCACTACCGCGTCTCCCAGTGTTTTATTACTAATAGCATTATTCTGGAACCTCGTTTCCAATTTGTTTTGGATTGCTTCATATTTGCCTTCTTGCAGCGCAGAAAGCATAATAAATACAACCAAGTCCATCCTTGCACCTGAGTCCAGTCCTCAACTTCCTGTCTTCCATGCACATCTCCAGTGTGCAAAGCACAACCCTCACATGTTTCCTCTGGTAACTCTTGATTCCTATACATGCTATCAGACTTCCTCTGAACTTGACCTCCCAGTCCCTCCAGTACTTGAGCTTGTTATTTGTTGAAGCCTTCATGCCCGTTTTTAGTGCTCTGTATTGAATGAAGTTAAACATAGATGAGAATCCCTGCTGTGGCAAACTACACTATGCACATACACCTATATAATTACACTATTGCATAGTTCAGCACTTCTCAACTGTCTTACTCCAAGACATTAATAAGTTTATCATTATTTAATGACAATATAAAGCTACAAACATTCATCCTCTTACACTGTCTTTCCCCCTCTTCTATCAGGCTCTCTCAACATTTTTATTGGAATATTCAATTTAGCTTTTCTAATCGTACCCAAAATCAGCACCCACATCTTAAATATAGCTGTCTGAGATTTGTTTTGTTTTTTTTTTTTTTTTTACTGCATTTTCTGCAATGTGATTCTCTCATATTTAAGTCCAGCCATTACAGTTAACAATAAATACATTTTATACAGCTTACCACAGATAATGGAAAAAAATATTTGTTTTGCAGCTTCTTGCGTGTATGCGCTATTCTATGTTTTTTCATAGTTGGCTAGCCTCCAAAAACTAGCTAAAACTTATGCATTTGTGTTTGAGGTCTATGCAAATTATCTTAAGGGTCAGAATAAATGAGTGACCGAGATTTTAGTACCTTGGTATTGCATAATTAATTTACAAACATTTATATTTTGGAGAAATAAATCCATTGTCAGGTTATGTTCTTTACTTAAACACCACCTAGCAACTTTATTGAAACTATGCCACACAACTGTGAAGCCACACTGCATTGTTAGCATGCTTAATCTGTTTTTTTTTTTCATCAATGAAATTTAAAGAACTGTAGATCCTCATGCTATTGAGTCATGTTTTCAGTGACATTGTTTATAATAGTATCTATTGGCTGATTGACTACAGACAGGATTTATTTGTCCCACAACTTTCTTGAACAGAGACATGGTTATATAACAAGTTTTTATAAAAACATGATCAAATGTGAGCTGCAAACAAATTTTAGAAGACCTGCTGCAAATATTACATAACATAGACCTCACTATTTACACTATTAATGCAGATTGATCAACTTGGTGAAAAAGCCATTCAGCCTACTTTCTAACATGGATGTTTTTTTATTTTTTTATTTTTGAGCAACTGCGGGGCGGCACTGTCGCACTGTCGCCTCACAGCAAGAAGGTCGTGGGTTCGATTCTGGCCTGGGGCCTTTCTGTGTGGAGTTTGCATGTTCTCCCCGTGTTCGCGTGGGTTTCTCCGGTACTCGGTTTCCTCCCACAGTCCAAAGACATGCATGTTAGGTTAATTGGAGACACTAAATTGCCCATAGGTATGAGTGTGAGAGTGAATGGTGTGTGAATGGTGTGTGCGCCCTGCGATGGATTGGCGAGCTGTTCAGGGTGGGTTCCTGCCTTCGCCCGTAGTCAGCTGGGATAGGCTCCAGTTCCCCTGCGACCCTAGTGAGGAATAAGCGGGTATAGACAATGAATGAATGAATGAATGAATGAGCAACTGCGCTTTTAGATATCACGATCTCTGACAGTATTTTTTTGAAATTAAAGGCCAAAGAGTGGCACAATGAACAATATCTCATAGTAGGATATCACACTGAAAGAACAAACCCCTTTAATTTTCAATATTTCTGAATATATTCATAGAGTAATAGTAATGAAGGCAAGGTCAGGTTTGTATGCTTAGAGTATATAAAAAGGGCCAAAGAAAAAGCTTTATTTATATTGAAAAAGAAGCATATAATTTCATGTAGTCCACTAAGAATATGTGCATGTAACTCTTTTTCGTTATGTGGCAGCTAACACATGCATATAAACCTGCATGGTTTCAGCCCCTTTTGAATGAATTCTGGGTGGTTATTCTATCATTTCTCTTTATGCAGTACAATACAAAGCAACATAAGCATACATTTATATAAAATAAAATCATTACATGTCGCAAACTGTCTGTCTATTAACCTCTTCCACCCAAGGGGCAAATAGGTGGAGTTCTGTCTGTTTTGACGACTGTTACAAAAAGCACTGTATTGCAAGATCTATAAATGTCAGTAATATGGCTCTTACTTTTTTTTTTTTTTTTTTGAATGAGAGAACTTCTGTGACTAAACAGTCATTTTTTGCATAAGTCCAGTTTAAAGATAAAAAAGAGCCTGTTTTGGCTGTTTTTTATCTAATATCTTAGAAAGCCCAGTATCTCGAGCACTACAAAAGCCTGGAGTGTTCAATGGTTCAATGCTTTTTAAAACTCTTTTGCCAATAGACTCCCTCTACATATAAGAGTCATATGTAGTCATTATGGGGAAAAGAGTTAATGTTAGGAAAGTACACCTATATTATAAAAGTTAGTTTTAACCAAAGTTCAGTATCTGATATTTGGTTTCAACAATGTATGTCTTTAAAATGTAAAAAAAAAAAAAAAAATAATAATAATAATAATAATAATGAATAAAAATGGCTCCTTGCAGTCAATTTGTAGAATTTTTCCCTGATGTGATACAGCAGTTATGAATGAAATGATACTTCTTTGGGGTTCCTGTATATGCTGGCTATTTGTGTAAAAAGTAGTTTCAATATCTGTGACCTAAGAGATTGGGTATTCTTCTTTTTTAGGTGAGACCCTTTTTGGTTTGGTTACCAAAGTGTCTTTAAAATTAATGTTAATTCTTATTTTGAAAACATGCTGTATTTCTGTGCTCCAGTAAAGCGATAGTATGAAAGATAATAACTTTGCAGATTGCTAAATAAACCAATGGTCCTAGTTATATCCAGCACTGTGCTGGATTCCAAATAACCCTTTTGCTAATATGTAATCAATTAGACAAAATGTATTATTATCGTAAAATAAATTGTGAAATAACTTAAATTTTAAACAGGAAATTGGTAACCTTATCCGGCATGTTTCAGCAAAGACAGGATTGCCTCTTGTCATATTCCATGGGGGATTACCCAACGCATTCAACAAATGACAGTGAAACAAGGAATATAACATAATGTAGTTCATAAAAAAACAAAGACAAATATAGAAGGCTGAGAAAACAGAAAAAACCCTTGAAATAAGGACACAACTGCATATAAAAACAATACATTTTGGAGTCCAGATGCACATGAGACTAAACCATTAGCTGATCTCACGTCTTTATGAACTGTCATAACTAGGAAGAGGATACATTTGCTGTGTAATAATTACTGCAACCACTGCAGGTGTTTTCTTTTTTTTGATGTTAGGAGAAAAGTTTAAATGTTTAAAAAAGGTTAAAAGTGGAGAAATAAAGTTTTAAATCAAATCTAGCTCCATGCTGGTACTCCCAAAATGATGGCTAGCACATGCTGGCGTCGCTTAAATAGCGATAGTGTAATTATGTTTTATTTTGAGGGTAAATGTGCATGAGAACCTTACATTATTTGCATTGTTTTATTAGAGAGGTATAAAACACATCAGGCAGTCATTTGCAATTCCCTTTTAACCTTAAATAAGTTATTTGTTAACTCAACAACTTTATCGTTTTTTTTGCACAAGTAGCTATTTTAAAATATGATATCTGGAATATGTTCCAATGGAATTGGGACTGGTGCATGTTTGTCCTTGTGTAACATCACCTCTGTTTGTTTTTAACACTCTGTTATTTTAGAACTGAGGACACTAATAATTGGAGCTTCAAAATGTAATTTGTTTCCATTCTTGCCCAATAAAAGATGTCATTTGGTCAATAATCCAGGGTCTCCACAGTTATAGTTTGCGTTTTTGGTATCTACCGATGAGAATCACATCTGGGCTGCAGGTAAGCCAGTGCAGTTCCCACTCTCTGTGACCACAAAGCCATGCTGTTGTACTTTTTACGACGTGTGGCTTGGCGTTATCCTGCTGGAATGAGCAGGGCTTCCCTAAAAAAAGATGGCATCTGTGCTGCAGTATATGTTCTTCCAAAATGTGCAAGTAGTCTTCTACAACAGTTGAGCCTTCTCAGATGTGCAGTTTGCCCACATTTAAGATGCTGGCTTTTGAACATGTATGTTACTGATAACAGTTGGGATGATCCTTCTCTCATTTGGCTTTGAAAACACAATGTTCATTGTTTTCAAAAACAATCTGAAAGATGGACTCATCAGACCACCACCCTCCTTTTTACTTTGCCTGATTCCATTTTAGATGGGCTCCAGCCCAAAGAAACTGGTGGTTCCTCTGGACAGTGTTGACATATAACTTCTTCTTTGCATATTAGAGTCTTAACTGTTTTTCGGTGATGCCAGATTAAACTGTGTTCACTGACACATGTCTTCTGCGGTATTCACAAGCCCATGAGGCCATGCCCATTTCAGAGACATGTTGGTTTATAATATATTACCATCTGAGGGCTCAAAAGCCCAATATTGGTATTTAGCCTTGTCTTTTCCAAATAAAGATCACTTTGGTTTCTTCGGAATCTCAGAACCTTTTCACTATATTGTGGTCTGTTGATGGTAAAATCCCTAAATTCTGAGCAATTGCACATTGAAGAACGCTGTTCTTAAACTGTTTGCCGACATCTACATGGACAGATAGTCAAAGTGGCGAGCCTGAAACCATCTTGCTGGTAACTGATGATGCCTTTAGTAACTGCTCATTGTACCTAATCATGATTGAATCACCTGATACCTGTTCACCTATTCACCCATGGAATGTTCTCAATGGGTGTTTTTTCCTGAAGATTCAACAGTCTTTCCATGAACTCGTCCAATTTGGGACATGTTGAAGGCATCAA